ACCCCGGAAATCCTATATCCTGATGGCACGAAACACTAATGACTAAACTCCTATAGCCCAAAAACCCTAAGCCCCCTGAACCCCTAAATCCTAAACACTGAAAAGCCGCGAAACATCACCCCTAAAGCTTAACCCCTAAACTCTAATCCACTGATGCTCAGATGCTCAGGTCGCGGCTAGCTGTGGCATGTGCCAGAAGTTGGCCATGGCCAGCGATAGGTTGAAGAAGGAGGCCTCAGCCGTTGTATGCTACGGTTTGGGGTTTAGGGTTTAGGGATTTAGGGTTTAGGGTTTAAGGGATCTGCCGATCTGCTGTTTACTATGAGGGCATGACGGATACAAGGAGGGTTGCTACAGCAAGGGACACTATAGGGGTGGTGGGTTGTAGTGCGGCTCTCCAAACTGTGGTTAGGGTCGATGGTGGGTGGGTGGGCGGGTTTGGCTAAAGCTTGCCCTCGATGTCCCAACAGGGGCAGTAGAGGTTTCCTTAAGAGTTCCCTTAAGAGCTCCTTTAAGGGATCCATAAGGGTTTTTTTTAAGGGCTTAGGCTTTTAGGTTCCTTTTAAGGAACCCTTATATCAACCCTTTTAGATCCCCTGTAGGCCCCCTTAAAGGAACCCTTGCTGCAAGGGAGGCCCTCAGCAGCAGACCACAGCAACGAAAACGGACTCCCAGTTCAGCCAGCTGAACCATCCTGGCTTCTACTTCGCCAGACCCGAAAATAGGGGGCCTGAATGCATTTTTCCAAGCAGGGTTCCATTAGGGTTTAGGGTTTAGGGTTTAGGGGTTTAGGGGTTGCGGTTTAGGGTGTTCCTTCAAAGGAGGTCCAAAAGATGCTACAACGGTTTCTTATGAAGGTTGGAATGTGGGGGCCTTACTAATTCGAATATATGGCCTGAACCTGAATCCTAAATCCCCAAGCCTAAATCCCAAAACGTTCAAACCCTAAACCCTGAACCCTAAACCCTGAACCCTAGAGGTGCTGCTTCATGTTTCAAGTTCGCAGAATGGGTCACGGCAGAGTGCGCAATTGTCAGGTAGTTGCAGATGTACAGAAAAAGTAGGCATCTGAATGCTTAGCAATACTGCACATTCCTTTGACCTCCTGTTATCACAAGTGCATAACAAAAAGCCCCCAAAACCCAATTCAAACTGTTGGATCCCCTAAAGAACGCATGTCCAAAAACCGAACGCGTCCATTCGGCTTCCTGAGTCTGCTCATCTTCGTCGGCACGGACGTGTTTAGCCACTGCTTAGGGTTTAGGGTTTAGGGCGATGGATGTGAGAAGGCAGGTCCCAAGGGACAATGTTTCCGTAAGCTCTTAACCCAAAAGCCCCAAAACCCTAAACCCTTTAATTCCTAAATTCTTAAACCCTACACCCTTAAACCCTAAACCCTTAAACCCTAAACCCTTAAACCGTCAGAGCCCTTAAACCCTTAAACCCTTAAGCCCTGAAGCCCTAAACCCTATCCAACGACAAGGCTGTGGCAAGTGGCCCGCGGCCACAGGCGTAAATCCTGCAAAACTTCCCCTAGACGCGTCGCATCATGGCCTCAGGCCCTAAACCCTATTTAGGGTTTAGGGTTTAGGGTTTAGGGTTTAGAGTTTAGGATTTAGGGTTTAGGGTTTAGGGCTTAGGGCCTAAACAATGAGCCCTGAAGCCTGTTTTTTGGGGGCCGAGAGCCGAAGCACCAAACTTCGCAAGCCAAACCCTGTAAGATAGGGGCCGCAAGTTATTAGGGGTAGATTCTGGAGTTAGGTAAAATAACCCTAACCCTCCAGGTACCTACTATATAGGGCCTTAAGGGCTCTAGTACCCTATATAGTAGGTACCTGGGGGGTTAGGGTAAGTTAGATAAAATGAACCGGAGGGAATAAGTATTGCTCATTCTTCAGGCTTCTATGTTAAGCACCCCCCAAACCTTTGGTGTTTCAGGCAGGCACGGGGCCAAGGTAAACATAACGGTTAGTACGTAGGGCTTAGGGTTTAGGTGTAGGATATCAGGTTCAGAACTTAAGGTATAAGGCCTATAGGGCTTAAGACGTCTCTAGAGTTATAGTTATAGACTTTTTGAGTTAGGGAACTGAGAAATATAGACGCTTGAGCAAGCTGCTTCACAATTCGAAGGTGCAAGCAGGCGCCTTTGAAAAAGGCGCACAGCCCAATCAAGAAGAAGGACGACCTCAGCTATGCGTTCTGTAGAGCCACGCTCCAGGACGAATACCTGAAGAGGCCTCCACATCTCTAGGGCCTTTGGATTCGAATCGGGGTCATGGGTAACCTTCTTTGGGATAAGTTGGAGAAGCCCCGAATTCGACACTTCTGCAAACGTCCGCAAAGCCACTGCAGATTTGACTTCACCCAGACCATCGTCGTGGTCTCGCATCTGAGACGCCCCAACATGAGGGAGAACAGGTCCGGGCCGTCCAGACCTTCGGAGAGCCCCTAAAACCCTAAACTCTAAACCTGCAGCCAAGAAGCAACATTATCAGGTTCAAGGACCATGTGACAATAACCTGGGCCCGGTCTTGGGCTTTCTTTACTGGGCTCTTGTTAAGGGGTTTAGCTTAAGTTACCATAAGAAGCATATTATGTACTATAGATCTGTATTGTGCTAACTTAAATGTGCCTTAAAAAGTTCACCGTTTAGGATTTATGGGACCTTGTGGCAATCACCTAGGACCTAGGAGAGAGGGCTTCGTGTTTTAGAGCTTACGGAGGGATGTCTGAAAGTGCCCGCCAAGGATTGCAAGTACTGATCTGTGCGGATCTAGGCCCGGTTTAGGGCTTATAGGACTTAGAAGTTTAGGGCTTTGTGGGGTTTAGGGCTTTTAAGGTTTAGGGTTTAGGGGTATAGGCTACCTGATGCCCAGAAGCTGACGAAACCTCACCGACTCCGTCGGGACTCGAGCTCCCTCCCTCAAGGCCCTGTGGCTGGTAGTATTGAGAGCACCACTCCATATCCGGCGAAACGTAAAGTCGCGTGGAAGTTCGAAAGTTTGTTGACGTCCGAGTTCCGAGCATAGTGGAATTGTGCTGCGGTTGTTCTGGCTTCTATGACCTGTGAATGTCAATAGATGGTGCCTATGCTATGCTGGCTGCCGAAACCTCGAAGACACGCGCGAATACGTACTATAGTTCCACCGAACATGCCAGATCTTATAAGCACCAAAAGTATCCTTTGCACTACAAAATCTCCAGGCAAGGCGCTCCTGAGAGGAGAACAACAGAATGAACAAGCAGACCCAAACGTGACAAAGTCTTCACATCAATAGAGAACCCTGTGATTTCAACAATATCAAAACCTAGGGACCTCAAGCCCTCCAAACCCGAAAGAAGCCGATCCAACCCACAACTAAACCTCAAACAACCTGAAACCCTGCCAAAACCCAATAGCAAGCCATTCACCCGCAGAATCAAAGCATTGCAAAACACCCTATTCCCTATAAGCCCTAAACCCCATTCACCCAAATTCTGGGTCTCGCACGGCCATCCTTACATCAAAGCCCTGGCCAAGAGGATTATCCGTACGCGCCGCTTCGCGCCTCGGCAAAAAAAAAGCTTGCTTTATCTACGCGGGTCTAAGGTTGCTGTATGGGCTTGTTGTTGAGGATTCAGGGATTGCGGGTTTAGGGTGTTGAGTTTAGGGTTTTAGGTTTGGGGTTTAGGGTTTAGAGTGTTGAGTTTAGGGTTTTAGGTTTGGGGTTTAGGGTTTAGGTTTAGAGTTTATAGGGTTTTAGGTTTGGGGTTTAGGGCTTCAGCTTGGGAGGGTCGAGCCTGAGGAGTGAGGTTTGAGGCTTAAGATTTCGGATGCATTCGGATTTTTGTGCAGCGTGCAATCTTACAGGCGCAATTCCTATGGCCGCAAAGTGTATAATTATATGTGGAGATGAAAGGTTTGCAGGCTTTAGGGCATAATCTAGGGTTGAAATTTAATCAAGAGTTTCGGAAGCCATGCCCGCTCAGGCACCGTGCTTCCAACTTGCGAACGTGCCCGCTCGAGAGGCGATGCTGTTCAAGGATTCACACATGCTTCACGATTCATGGGACCATGTTTCAAATGATTCAGAAGATAATAAAGATAAGATGCGAGCAATAATCTTGGGCTCCGATGCCAGATTAGCTTTCCACTCCTTTTGGGGCTCAGATATAGGGCATAGGGAGCCTGGCTGCAATTGAGAAGACACTAGAGTCACTACAAAGGCTGCTCAGCAAGAGTTGTCTCTAGTTTTGACCATGAACGATGGCCTGCGCCGTCGTGTGCACTCCGCTTGCGACTGGGTTCTGGAAGAGGCTTATCATCAGATGTCTTCTCAATATTACCGCCAGCAACGATTTCTGCAAATCTTGGTTCTGGGCTCGCCGTTGCTGCATGAAGCATTCTCGCGAGAACTTTGGTTCTATTCAGTCGTTGTGTGTCTGTGGAGCAGTAAGATTCTGATTTGGTGCAGTGCGACCCATTCA